AGCACTGTGGCTTTACATTGTTAATTTCTTATATAAGCGATTGAAAATCGCTATTCTTAATATAACTTAATTACCGGTAATATAAAAAAATGTGAATGTACTTTTTATGCCATTTCTTGCCATCATTGCATGAGTTTAACATTTTGTTATAGATTTCATTTCTTTTGCAAGAAAAACACTGAATTCTCAGAGTGTTACTTATAACCATCTTTTTATGTAATGAAACATCGATATCGTTATCGGCTTATCGGCCTAGTTTTAGAAAACTATCAATATTCGTTTAAAATAGCTGTATCGGTCGAGCCCTTCTAAAAAGTAACGAGAATCATTTCTAAACAATTCCATATGCAGATCATGAAATGCAGGAACTATATATATTTAGGAAATTTAAAATATATTATTGAAAAATGTTTGAGAAATCAACTGCATTTTACAAAAAATTGTGGAAAATTATTTCACTCTCACTCACAAGTGACCGCTTAATGAAATCTAGATATAAAGAAGACCAACTGATTAAAGGTCATTTGATTTAAGTGATGACACAATGCACTTTAATTCCGACATTGTGATATAATACAGAAATAAATTTCATCCATTGTTTCATCACAAATGATGACATGGGTGGACATATCGAATGAAATTATAAATAAATAAGAAATCATTTGTCTGAAATAATGTGTCATAATATTGTCATTGTGAGATAATAATAAAACACTTCCTGTGAAAGGGGCTCAACAAACAATGGAACGCTGGAGAAACGTGTTGCAAACCCATTCAAGGTTTACACAAAACATTTGAGTGTTTCATGAAATAAGTATCAATAAATGAGCATCACTAGGAGCTCATGGACTAGAGCAGGGTTACTCAACTATTTTTACCGAAGATCCGCATACGAAACTTCAAAATTAAACTGATCCGGTCTTCCCAGAAACTCGACCGGCTAATGATTATTAGCTAATCAAGATTGTTAATATGGTATTATAGTTCTTTTCATATACAGTATATTCAAAACATTTTGATATTAGCAAGTGCCTTATGTCTTTTTTTTTCAAATTTGCTCTCATCTAGGCCAGGGGTTCATGTTTTGGTCTGGATTTCAAAGTTCTCATTTCAGACAGTTCAGATCCAAGAATTACATAAAATATTATCAAAATTTTAAAATGTGACATAAGCTTATTTAGAGCGTTATGTCAATTAAATGGAATCTCAAAACACTTCTTTTTCAAAGGCAGGGATTTTAAATTCAGTCAGTAATAACTAGTCGATATTGAATCTAATCAAGCCTGATTCTTAGACAAAATAAACAACTTATATTCGAGCCAACTTCGATCACATTCTAATCCTGAAAGATCCTAATATTTGAACAAAAACAAGTACTATGATGTCACCATCCCTACCATTATGTTGCCATAATAATAATAATAAAGATGACCTCATCCAGGGACCATCTGGAACGCAGTGTTCCCATTGGTTAAATAAACATTGTGATTGGTAAACAAATTCAAAGCACATTTTTCGGGTAAAAAAGTGGTCGCTCCCGAAGTATGCGAACCAAGATGGCGGACACCAGAACGTAGTATGTTTACCAAGTCAGAGTTAGACCTCAATTTCAGATACAAATACTACAGGAGTCACTTGGCTATTCTCTGAACTCTAATAGAACTAAAATAAGGAAAATTGAAATAAAATCATGACCTAACCCTAACCTGGTACACACACTATGATCCGGTGTCCGCCATCTTGGTTCACATACTTCGGGAGTACCAAAAAGTGGAAGTCAAAGAGTTTTTCTGCACACTAACACAAATATATTTCTGTTAAATTTTGTCTGACTGAAGTTAAACAAAATTTAACAAGAAGAAGAGGAATTGCACGAATATTTGAATGTAAATCTTGTTGCAATTGATGCCATTTTCAGAAATAGAAGTCGTGTGCTATCGATTGTATTTATAAGACTCGCAATCTCTCAATTATGATCTTTGACACTTCACCTTTCAACCTAAGGAGGAAGCTTATTTCCTGTATTTATTTCAATTTGTAATTTGTCAGACAAATTCGCTAAATGTTTTTGCGAAAATTCTGGATTTTGTAATTTCAATTTACTTTACACTTTTTTCTCGACAGTATTAATTTGACTTGATCCCAGTCCTGTATCTTTTAGCAAGTCAAGGGTGCCTGTGACTTATCAAATATCACGCTTTCCACTTGAAGGATTGGGACCTTGCTTTTAAATACCAAAACATATCTCTTGGTGTGTCGACATTTGCTTGCCACTATTCTATTAGTATTTTTCCACTTTTGTTTAAGGGTTTTAGACCTCGATTAGAGCAAATTTAAATGAATGGGCACTTGCAACATTTCCATCAACACTTATTTTCGACTTGGTTAGGACCTTGCTTTAAAAACTTAATAAATAAGGAAGGCTACATAGGACAAACTTGGTTAGGAAAGCAAACTAATTCAAGAAAGCTACCATTTAGATGTATTAATAGACATTGTGGTGTAACAATACTTTTGGTATGTGATGTCATCAATACAATGTAGAAATAATGAAGAATTATGTTCACATTGAAATTTTGATTTTAATTCATAAAATAGAAATAAATTGCGAGTGTGATGTATTTTTGAACAAAAAAAAGCTAAATGTTATTACATATATGACGTGTAAAAGAATTTGAATACTTATCTGAAATAATTCAATAATAAACATCATTTTCATTATTATGCGATAAAAATAACAAAACTCCCAAAAATTTGAATATAATTACCGCTATTACCTCATAGATTCCAACTGACATTATTACCACAAATTCTAGCTTGAATTTTGAATAAATTACGTTTTCAAATCCAGTTTGTAGAGCTTATCACAAGTATGTTTGTTCGCAAACCTTCCTCCCATATTCTTTAGCATAGAATTTGAATTTATAGATAACTTCAAAACAATCGTTAATAAGGAGGAAAATGTATGTATTGTGGTGGCATGAATGATAGTAATTCGCCCCCCCCCCCCCACGCGCACTCCGAATAGACAATCACTGGCAACATCTATTAAATATCTGCCACGTTATGAAACTAAATCCAAGCGAGGCAGGAAGCAACGTTGAGTTCGCTTTACAAAAAACTAAAACAACGGAAGTATGAATGCAATAATTCGGAATGCACTAATTGGCTAAAAATAAATTTACTTAACAACTGGCAAAAACCACACTTTACTAACCAGGAACGCCAAGCCGCCTACAGAATAAAAAGAGACGCATACCTATTTGGTCACAGAAAGTGGAGATATGGGCTGACACGAAACAAGGAAAATTCCTGTCCCCTGAAACTACACTGTAAGCTCTGTAAACAAACCGCGGATACAGCCAACCTTTTTTTTTTAGCATGTCCCACATACCTCAATATTCACAACGTCACTCGTGAATTCTTACGGGCAATAACAGGCAACAACTTAAACATTTTCGACAATACATACTAGGGCCAGAACACGCCAGCCGTTCCTAAGATGTTCGCTTTATTAAAGATGGAAATAATTAAAACTAAACTCAGACTGGATAGGGAAGACAGGTATATAAATCAACTGGACATACAATACATACAGCAAATGGTTGCCAATAAGTTTGCACAATTTATAGACAAACATAATTCCACCCAAAATTTTGAACAAGTCTACGAGCTACAGCTAGGCTGGAGAGAACTAATTCTGCCAAACAACCAATTAATCCACGGAGATCTATAACTCCCACTCTACCCATAAATGGTAGCATAGAAAAAATAATACCATCTAATAATCCAAGGGAAATGATGAATCGGAAGCACCAGGGTGAAAGTTATGCTGTGTTACACATTTCATATACGGAAGCCCTACATGTATGAATGTCTACTCGGATACATGTATTAGAAGCGTAAAACCGATGCGACTCAGATATGACGTGTCAACCTGAGCTCGCCTAGACTATAGCTCACAAAATGATTTCTCACTCTACATTAGTACAATGAAACTGTCTCGGACAACGCTAATTAGACATCTCCTAATATATAAACATAAGGTAAGCTTCTCCTTTCCTATTAACAATATACTAGGCCTAGAGATACTCACCTCAATCTTTTTAAAAATCTTGTAACATCCTGGATAGGAGACACCAACATGTTGATGGAGCTAGATTTTACAACTTACATGCTCTTGTAATGTCCTGGATAGGAGACACCAGAATGTAGATGGAACTAGATTTTGTCAATTACATGCGTTTCAGCCGTTGATACCTATTACAGGCACTTTCATTACGAAAGTGGAGTATTTACAGTAGTTATTAAAGTGAAGGCAACCTTAGGCCTGATCGTAGCAATTACTACTATACATTTTATTAATAACAGCAGCCGTGCAATTCAAATACCAGATAGAAGTATAGAACACCCCCACAAAAAAAATATCAACTTCACCCCCCCCTAAAAAAATTGCGATACTTGCACCCCCTGCTTTTTATAAAAATGCATAGATTTGCTTTTAACACATTTCGGTCAATTATTTTAAGTGCTACACCTTGTTTCATAATAAGAAAGCCACAAATAAATGCATTAAATTGACAACTTAGTCAATTGACTTCAAATTGCAAATTATATCTACTGGATGCCTTTGCTCATGACACCCTTAGATTGCAATCAATTGAACAGTCAATGCTACACTGGAAAAACAGTTCTGCATAGTCATTTCTTTTAAAGCCTTGTTTGAGGTAAATATGGCAAAAAATTTCAGACATACATCACATTTGGCTGCAATGATACTTATCTTCAAATTACAGACCCTAAATTAAACTTAATATTGTTAAAATCAAAGCCTAACAAAAATTCAAATGAATTCGAGGACGATTAATTTTTGACATCACCATCCAAATAAAGACACACAACTAGTTTTCAATACAACGCTAACAAGCAAAGAAAAAAGCAGTCAGCCATATCACCAAATTACAGACCCCAAAATGAACCCAATTTTTATCCAATCATACCTCCAGCATGCTATGAAGAGCTTTATCATCCAGCAGGCTCTGTAGAAATTCTAAATCATTGTCGGCTCCGTCTGATAATGCATGGATTTCTTCGAGACTATCGAGTACGTTGGCAACAGCACCTGGAATGTATATACCAGTGCGTAAGATTTGTACACGAGGCCACAATCAGATTTTTTTGCAAAGTGCCGTATTGAAAAATTGACTGTTGGCTAGAACGGTTTTTTTATGCAGAAGCCGCATCAAGGAAACATTTTTCCTAGGGGGCTGGCCGTACATTCAAATAATCTTTCTCTTCATAAGACTGAATGTACCATCACAGTTACTATTCCCATTCGCTATGATAGTGGCAAATTTAATGGTAGCTGACATTTTCGGGCCAGATCGAATAAACATATATATATATAAAGAAAACATTTAAAACATACAATAAACATACAGTTAACACCCCTTAACAACAAAAATGTATGTTTTATTCAAGCAACACGTTGAAAATACGTGGATGGAACGTGAATATCCAAAATAAGGCGGGAAAGATCAAATCTAATAATATTTTTATTTAGCTTCACGCCCCTCAAAATATTGTCCACGCCCCCTTTGTGACCTATCGTACCGATTGAACCACTTTTCTACACAGAAGCCTGATAATGTAACAGAAACATCGGCAAATCACACCGTTTTTTTCACAGAGGGTGCTCTATACATCCTCCTTATTCAATAGGCTGATTAATTTTACTCTTCGGTACTCAAAGATGAAGAAAGTCACTTTTATTTTTTCAAATTTCTTGGAGAGAAACCCGATGGATTATGCAAATTTGTTGTATTTTTTCAATGAAGGGGGACACTGTTCTATTCCGTCACACTTTTTCTATGACCTTTTCATCCAACTCAAGGTCAGCTAAGGGCTCACCAATACAAACACGAGAATTATGTATCCGTATATTTCAGCATTGCTACTTTGTATTTCCTCACCTGATGACGTTGGGTCTTGCTCTTCAAAAAGCTGTGCATTGTCTCCCTCTAGTGGCGGATCACTATAAAATGACGTACACTTCATACTTGACACAGCAGCTAAGACAGCACCCTGTATATTTGAACATAACATGGTAGAAATTAGTATTATAAAAAAAGTTTAGAGTGAAAAGCATAAAATGGTACTCATGAAGTATGTGTACCAGGTTGGAATAGGCCATAATTTTATTCCAATCTTACTACAGGAGTCACTTGACTAGTCCCCGAAATCTGGGTACGCATACTTCAGGAGTAACATATAATGTACATATTTTAGATTGAAAGGTGTTGTCATCAAAAGAAGTGGTACGTGTTCGCTCACCCAAAAATTGTAAGTTAATTTAAACATACGCACACACACAATCACACAGACATGACACATGTTCACTCATCCAAAAATATTAAGTTAATCATGCACGCACACACATAAAATCACGCAGACAAAGTAAAATTAGGGAAGGGAAAAAGGAAGAAACAAAATAAAAACATATTTCGGATTCAGATATCTTACTAAGCAGTGAAAGCTTTTACAAAGCCTTGTTCAGAGTGCAAATACTAGATCAGTGGATTCTCAACCTTTTTTTTTCGTGGCCCATTTTTGTGGCCCAAAAATTTTTATGCAAGGGGGAAACTACAAGAAAAATCCAGATCTTTCTGCGAAAATGGACTCTTTAACGTTTATAATTAGAATGAGAATTACCACTCAGTAGCAGAAAACAGCTTCGTCATTGATTTCTGCTACAATCAAAATGAACTATTGTGACATAAAATCGTTGTTTTAAGGCCGTTTTTAGGGAGTCGGCCTATTCTCGATATAGGCCTAATTTCGGGAAAATACGGTAACTATTGTGACATAAATAAAACTATCAATTTTCGTAGTTTTGTGGCCCAGCAGTGGGCCATGAACCACTGGTTGGGAACCAGTGTACCAGACCAGTGCTCTTCAACAGGGGTTCCGCGTTTTTTATTTCAGGAGAAATTATTTCTTGCTTCAGCATGTTGATGCGTCATTATAAATATTCTTAGACCTTCGTGTCTCATTCAAACTCCATGTAGGCCAGTTCGTAAAACAGGAAGGAAGTTTAGTCACAGTGCAGTTAATAGACGAACCAGAAATATTTTAGGTTGTTGCGTCACTTTAGTCCTTGTTATGCAACTAACAAGAACGCTATTGTTGCACCTTAGTCACACGATGTTCAAAGTATGTAGATACTAGATATTGATCGAGAGTAAGTACTACAAACTAGAGCTGTTGTTCAGCTTTTCGTGTTACGAGTATTTCGTGTTTTTTCTCAATTCTGTTAACCTGATTCAGACGCCCAATCGAGCCCAATTTTGAATACATTTTTATTAATGTCATACGACCCCCAAAATTTACCCAATATACAATAATTATATACCATTGGAAAGGTATTTCAGAGTACTATACGCTAGATGTCACTGGAGGACCGTAAACTAAAACACCTCTTTCAAGAGGTCTCTCGTAACGTCAAAAAATAACAAAAATATTTACACTCTCTCATTCTATCAGCTGTTGGACGTCTACAGCTATTGTAAAGCTGAAATGTAACTATGCAGTTGACTGCACATCGGTTTTCTCTTTCATATGATAATAAACGCTTTTCGTTAGCGCGTGTCGTTCAATCGTTTTGGAAATTTTCCGTTTGAGAAGTCACCACATCGAATCAGGCCAGGCTAAGCTTGATAGATCGATCGGTTGTTTGTTTGTGCTTTATCGCGTTGAAAGCTTTTGTGAGTCATAATAAAACATTTATTATGAATCATAAAAGCTTATAATCGTCAGACAAGGAGAATTTGCGAGATAAAACGCCTAACTTTTTTTCGGTGAGGCAGCTGCGATCAAACGACTCGATATTTTTATAACTTCCTGACGTTGTGAGATGTCCACTCTCCTATGTTATGTAGCATATAAAATGACCTTCAAAATAAGACCTTATCATACTAGCTTTTGTTATTGGTTAGCGCGCAACGCCAAGGTTTATGGAATCATTTTCTTGTTGTGCGACGTTTTTATATCGCAGCGGGAAGTACACGCGTGATATGTAAGCGAAATTTTATCACTTCTAAATGTCATGTAAGGTTCATTCTCATATCGTTGTGTGGGGAATAATATTTCCTTTCAAGCAAGACCATAACAAACATTCCAGACCTCATGGTATACACACAGCATTGCAAAACGTCTGAAACGTCGCGCATGCGTCAAACCGTTAGGATTAGGTTAATTGGGGTTTCATAAAAAACGAAAAATTCTATCAGGGGTTCCACAATAACAAAAAGGTTGAAGAGCACTGTACTAGACTCACTCACCTTCAGTTTTCTCCTTGCGTTAAATTTCTTTAATTGTTCAATCGAGTCCGCGAGATGTTTCCTCGGAGCGTACCGATCCCGTTCTCGAATCCAGGGATGATTTAAACATTCGAAAACTGTGATTCGTTCGTTGGGGTTAAGGGTCAACATACGTCGAACTAAATCTTTACACGGTTCGCTGATCGCGTCCCACTGTTTTGGATTCATCTAAAAAAAATTACTTGTATGATATGAAACTCTAAATGCTATATTAAATATTGCGAGAAAATATCAGGGACGAGGTGTATAGCCCACCAAAGCACTGGAGAAAGTTCGCTCCTTGAGAAAGTTTCGATAATTAGTATAATCACTGTTAAACTCGACTTTTCTGCATTTCCAAATTTAAACTCATTGAATATACATGGATTTGCTCTTGGTTGAATGTGTCCCTATATAGAATACATTGAAGGCATATTGAAGAATATACGTACGAGGCAAAACTCGAAAAACTCGAAAAAAGCAATTTTACCGATCGCTAGGAATTCCTCACATGAAAATTTTTTTTTTTTTTGGGTTGTGGTTTAATTTGATTTTATATTCAATTTTTATTTTCAAACTTCTGCAACTTTTCAGTAAAATACTTCGAAGAATATTGCTTCGAGTTTTGATTAGATTACTAGCTTGAAAGGCACTCATTTGGGCGCTCCATAAGTATATTTACCAATATGGAGGTAACTAATTTTGGTATATAGAGGGTATATTCACTTTGCTAACACAGAGAGTCCGCAAACTCGTAATAGAACAAAAAAGGAAAAATCTGAATAAATTATACCCTAACCCCAATCTGGTACACACATGACTAAAGGACCCTTATTTCTCTGTTTTGTTTTTAAATAAATTTTGTCTAAATTTTCAACACTTGCTATTTTGTTTGCCCTAAATATCGATATTTCAGGATCAAAAATAGTATTTCAGAAATAAAAAAACAGTGGGACATTCATTTCATTAGTTAAAATAGTGGGACACTCGGTGTCCAGCAACAGGAATTGAATTAATTGAAATTTCCAAGTTTCTTTCTAATTTGGCAGCAACACTTACATGAAATTTGCCTTTCTTTATGCTGTCGTAAAGTCTTTCCCGAGTTCCATAGAACGGCAAACTTCCACTGACTAATATGAAGAGCATGACACCGCAACTCCATATATCTACTGGTTTACCGTACGGTTCTCCTTTGACAACCTCAGGAGCCATGAAATGAGGTGTCCCAACACTTCCTGGAAAAGATAAGTTTCATTTAGAACTGTAGGTTTAAACAACGAGTCGAAACCGGTTTCAGCCGGTCAGGGGTTATGCAAGTTTTCATTCAAATGTGAGAGTCCATACCAGACATGGGCAAAGTATGGCCGGCGGGTCAAATCCTGCCCGCTAGGTAATTCAATCTGACCCGCCTGTTTCGGCCACAACCAAACTGAAACTAAATTTTGATGTTTTAGTTCAAAATGGCTCAAGGAATTTGTTGAGATTGCGGTTAAATTTAGTTTTGGCAGGAGGTATATTGTTCAAATTCACAAATAGCTGCAGTGTATCCCCAAAACTAGAACAGTGTCCTATTTCAATTTTCTTTCGAAAAAACACACTAGGGCTAATTTTCAAAGGATGTCTTTTATTTTCATTTATCAAAAAAAAATTACAAAGTTGAAAATGACGAGATTTCTTGATCGACTCGACTAGGTCTCATATTAAGGAGAGGGTTTATATCAAAATCATTTTCAAAATTCAGGCTAGGTCTTATTTCGGGAACGGGCAGAGGGAGACTTGTGTGTAGGGAGGATTTAATTTCATATTCACAGCCTGAATGAATGACACTAAGCCAACAATACAATCGACAATTTTAACAAAATCAGCCGCGTTGTAAAGTGTAGACTTTCAATAGAGATAATTGAAACAAAAATTTATGACAGAAATCCATCAGATTGACTAAACCAGTGGTTCTCAACCTTTTTTTTTTCTGTGGCCCATTATCTTATTCATGTAGAGGAAAAACTACAGGAACAGCAATAAAATTCTATTTGTAAAGAAAGACACTTCCAGTTTAATAATCCAAATGAAAATTCCCACTCAGTAGCAAAAACAGCATAATCATTCATTGCTGCTACAATCAAAATTTAACTAATTATTCAATAACTCGAGCAATTTTTAATAAGTTTGTGGCCCACTTTGAAATGTTTGTGCGGCCCAGAAGTGGGCCATGGCCCTCTGGTTGAGAACCTGTAGATTAAGCAGTCTGATGAAACGAGGCTTTTTTGTGCTTTCAAGGTTCTTACTTATCGATTTTAATCGGTAAGTATGTTGATAGGTATTTGTCTGTTTGTCTGTCTGTTAGATGCACGCCATATCTCACGAAAGTGAGATTATATCTTTCAAGACAGCTGGGGCCTTTCATCAACACATAGTCAGGAGTTTCAATGCACATTAACACGAATATATTTCGTCAGACAAAATGTTACTGAAATATATTCATGTTAATCTGCAGCAAGACTCTTGAATCACAAGGAATAGTGATTTTTACTCTTAGATGGCGAGACTATTTATATTGCAAGGATGTCGTAGCAAGAGTGGAGATAACTATTCTAAGTGATCCAGAGTCTTGCTGCATACATGTCAGTAAAGATTTGCATTGCATCGAATAGACTTCTTTGAACAACAGCTAAAAGACTTATCATCTAAGTCAGGGGTCGGCAACCCTTTTTCGCTCGCGGGCCAAATTAAAGGTTGCAAGTCATTGGCGGACCGCACATATTTTTGGAAAGTTGAAAATCGAATAGATGACCGACGAATCACATTTTATCACACAGATCAGAAGTTAAATTTTAAGCAGCGCGCGAAGACTGAACATTTGAATATTTTTTGCGTCATTAAACCATTTGCACTTAGCATCAATTTTTCTGTGTTTTGTTGTCATTTGTCTAAATTATAGACAATTATAAGCTCATTAAACGAGTAATTGCGAATTATATACTTGTTACGGTATAATATAATTCAGTCTACACGTAAATTCTTTTGCGGAAAGAATATAATCGACAAAACAGCTATGATTTGTTACTATAATTCAGTGAAGCGTCGGGGGCCGGATTATATTGCTCTGCAGGCCGGATATGGCCCACGGGCTGTAGGTTGCCGGCCCCTGATCTAAGGGTTTAGATTACTATTCCGTGTGATTTAAGAGTCTTGCTGCAGACTAACACGAATGCGAAGATAGACTTGTCTCAAGAACTCTTATGTTACCAAAATACATTTGTGTTAGTGTGCAGCAGGGCTCCTAAATTAAATAGAGCAGTCATCTTCACTCTTTTTACAGCATCCATGAATTATACGCATACGATCCAACCAGCACAAAGGCATAGAAGAGGGATAAGTAGTAGTTTCATGTAACCCCAACTGATAATTGACTCGTGTATATATTTTTTTCCCCCTCCGCCTTACCTGTAACAAACCCATCATCATCAACTTGAATTGAAAGTCCGAAACCTCCAAGTTTGACTGGAGCTGAATTTTCTTTCGTAGCGAGAAGCACACAGTGAGGCTGTAAAAGGGAGAATTAAAAATAGTCAGGGAGTGATGGCTCTGCGGTTAATTTCTAGAATGAAACCTAAATAAACGCTGAGGATAATAAAGATACAAGCACAACAGGCAGGCAAGATCAGACCTAACATATATTTTCATTTTCAATTACTTTCACAACCTCGTCAAAAAATTATCCACGCCCTCCCTTGTTGGACACGCCCCCCATTTGGGATCACTGTAATAGATTGTAGATCAATACTTTCAAGCAGGATTCTGTCATTACAGTCCAGGGGTTCCGCAAGTTGACATTTCAATTCAAAAGTTCAGGTATGATGAAATACACAGGTGTAATATAATCATAAAATAAAGGTGTTTCACCAGTGCTATGTGAAAACCTTTAGGTGTTCTGCGCTGAATTCACAATTTTGACTAGTACATTCCAATGTATATCGTATTTGCTCGTTTTGTAGCCCGGGCCCATATTTTTTTAACCAAACTCACTAACCGGGCCCTTATTCAAGCACGGGCGCTTGTTATTTTTAAAGTAAAATTATACACAAAAATTATGGTATCTTTGAAGACAAATATTTGACGACTTTAATCCTTTCTCCATGTCAATTTATTCACGTCAAACGCAAATTATTCACGTCTTAAGAGTAATTCCCTCATATTACCCGTAGTTACTTATCGATCTTAAGATCGGTAAGTATATTGATAGGTATTTGTATGTATGTATGTCTGTCTGTATGTATGTATGTCTGTCTGTTAAATGCACGCGATATCTCACGAAAGCGAGATTGAATCTGCTCCAGATTTTGCATGTGCATTCATCTTATCTCGGACCAGATTCCTATTGATTTTGGGCGAATTATGTCGTATAATTAGCGAGTTATCAATCAATTATTGATTTTAAGTGATCTAGATTTTTGTAAAGCGAGAGAATTTTGAGACCCGCCGAGTGTGTGTGTGCGATGCGCAGTGCGCAAGTTACACGAGCGGATGAATCGAAACTGCAGTTTCTGTTTTGGGGGATCCCCTAACTATCGATCGATAAGTATTCGGTTTCCAACCGATATTCTCGTTTATATTATTAACAAGAAACAACAAATCATAAGAAGAAAAGTTTTGCGACGCCCTATCAATATTGAAACGACGCACTTGGGCGTCGCGATGGCAAGCACCGGCCCTCATTTTTTTATGTTCTGTTCACACGGGCGGCTATTCAAACGGGACCTTAATCAAGATCAGGCGGTAAAACGAGATTAATACGGTATATATATGCATAATCATTTGCACGAGGGTTCCACAAGCCTCGAGGGGTTTCGCTCTATCAAAAAAATATGAACATCGTACTGAACTATGAATTCCATCCTCACCCAGGGTGTAAAAAAGTGGGAGGGCAACGCTGAATCCAAAAAATTTCAAAAATCCTGGGTTAAAATCCCATGGCCAGCTTCTGTAACTGAACTGGACTTGAACAAATTCAGCAACATCAAATAGGCTTATCAATAAGCCAACATAAAAACAGGCAAAACAGGCAAAACAAACTAGGCCCAGAAAACTCGGCGCACAAGAAGTATGTGTACCGATATGGAGTTAACTAATTTTGTTCGCCTATTTTACATTGAGTTGTGTAAAGGGGACTGAAACCTATGGGCAGAACTAAAATAGAACTAAAATAAGGAAAATCGGAATTAAATTATGGCCAAACCTGGTACAAATACTATGAGATTACAAACTTACCTTTATGTCTCTATGGACAACGTTGTTTTCATGACAGTAGCGAAGAGCGTCTAGAATTTGGCTCATATAGTGACTGAAATGAAATGAGACGTAAGTTAGTATAGAAGTTTGCGAATGTTTTGGTCTGATTACTTCTGCGCCATTACGTGGTAATCACCCTTTATTCATATCAGTGGTTCCCAGAGTCAAGTGCCTGCAATGGCACCGGTATGCATTATTAAGATATCAGTAAAACTGAATTGTTCTTAAACTGCGATAATGACATAACAATTGACGGTATAAAACATGTAAAAAGGTTGGAACATAAAGTGTTGAACCATTCCAAACTTGGCAGGCAGAGGTTTGGGAACAACTAATTTACATTTTCGTATGAGGACGCTACTTGGGTGATGGTACAATATAATTTGTAACAATATCATAGTAGAAGCTGTAAATATGTATCTGCTTTGAAGAGGAGATAAAGTTTTCATGTTGACAAGATCTCGGATTTAAACATCACGCTCCTCACTTTGCAGTAATAAAAAAATTGAGTGGACAATACTGGGTTGGATAATAACTGTAAATCGCAGGCCAGTAGCTGATCCTGATTCCAAATGAAAACGCAACAGTCAAAATGCAGGATTGACCCACAAAAAAAATATGTCCATGTTCAAATCCCATGCCCCCACCCGACCCATGGTGTGATATACCGTATATGCTCGTTTTGTAGCCTGGGCCCATATTTTTTTCAACCAACTCACTAACCGGGCCCTTATTCAAGCATGGGCGCTTGTTATTTTCGATCGCTACAATAATTAATATATTGTTATTTCCAGTTCTCAAGTATGATTCAAACGAGAATAATGGAAATTTTGACTTTTTCTACGCATCGCGGGTACAAATCCGCAAAAGAAGAAAAGTTTTCCCTATCAATATTGAAACGACGCACTTGGGCGACGCGACATCCAGTTTGAGAACCATGGTGTTACGTAATCAGTGCTATCTGTTATGTACTTGGACGCCTAAAGCGTGAGTGTTATCTACCGGCGCTTAAAATTCAACACTGTTATGACAAAAGCGCTCCTTATTTTCTATTGTTCTCTACCACAGAAAAATCAGCTTTTACATCGGACGGGTATTCAAGCACCGGCCCTTAATCAAGATCGGGCGGTAAAACGAGCATATACGGCTGGGTAGATACCAGTAAAAGACTAGTCCTCACAACAATCCAAAATCCTTGATTCGGTCAATATTGCTTTCGTGTACAATAAAAATACCTCATTGATTGCATATGAGTCGCTCCTTGACAATGACAATGTCATACACCAAATTTAGACATGGTGCTGAATTAGCCCATTATCACAAAGCAGTTCTGACTCCAGTTATCGTAATATCTAGAGTTTGAATCCAATGCACCCCCCCCTCCAGATAATTTTGGCAGGGAATACTGAATTGGGTAGTGACTAATCCTTAGAATAAATGTGGCTCTTTGAATAATAGAGCCTTGTTTGAATGAAAGTGCCACAACAAATAAATCTCTAACCTTGTAACGGCTTCGCTGTAGACGAATCCCATGTTCGCTCGTTTCACGATTTCGAAGCAAAGATCAGCGCCGTCCATGCTAAGAAAATAATTTTATGAAATTTTTGAATAAAAATTTAGTTAACACTGTACCATACACGAAAGTCGTTGAATATGCAATTTTTTTCTTAATTTTTCAGCATTTGCATAGATTAAATATCATTGGAAAAGGGCTCTTTAGCGTCATTTCACAGAACAGAACTCTAGCATATCCTCCTAAAAGCTACGAGTCAAATGTTGAGATCCCATGATTAGCAGCAGAAATTTTTTGAAAATGATCGAATAAAATGAGCGACCCAGAAGTATGTGCACCTATATTATGGTAAATAATTTTCGAGGGGGGGGGGGGGTGAAGCTAATTGCAAATAAAATACTTCCATCCATGTATTTTCAACAGTTTTTTTTAATAAACATACTTCCGCATTAACATGTGTTATTTGTAGCCTAGTGTGAGCTAGCTCTTGACTAATTCTAGAAACGGGGGCGCGACTTAAAAAGTTTGAGAACAACTGGTTTGGTTATTTATAATAAAATTTGAAATAAATCAAATTTTGTATATAGTGGCAAGTAACTTTCTAAACGAAAACGGGGTGTACAAAATTCAGCGCTCCCGAAGTATGTGCGCCAAGATGGCGCACAGCCTGAACCCTAACCTGGTACACATACTATGTTCCGGTTGTGCACCATCTTGGTGCACATACTTCTGGAGGTCCAAAAATTCTTCACGAACGCATGCGGTATGCGAGTCGTAGTTTGCCCATCCCTGCTTTAAGAGTTTTATTTTGTTTCAAGTAAAGTAATACTCACTATTCAAAGACCATGTACAGCAATCCTTCCTCGCTGTAAACTTCATAGAGTTCAACAACATTAGGATGTTTCAGCATGTGACATATTGTCGCTTCTCTCTTCAAATCTGTGGAACATGCAGGAATAAGAATTAACGCATTGTAAGTTTGTAACCTAGGATCTCTAGGTCACTTATCTCATTATCCAGAAAATGCCAAGAACGACGCAAAGATGTCGCTGAAAAGGTTGTTTTTACAGCTATTTGAGAGATGTCGTTACACACGTAAAGCGTATCGCATTCTCGACGCGTGACGTGAATAAGAGAGAAACTCAAAATTTTGGAATTGTAACGTAAAATTATCTGCTATATGTATTGAATTTCATCTGTGAACTAATCCGTTAGTTGTTGTCGGCTAGTTACTACTTTAGTTATATATTATACTCCTAGAATCTAGACTCCAATATAAAGCAATATATTGATCAGAAGTTATGCATGTTCAATTAGCTACAAACAGGAATAATCAGAAATCGAATCGATTATAACAGAATTTCAAATTTTAAATTTTTTAGAAATAATTTGGGATAATCAATTTTCGAAAATGTTCATTTTACACAGTGTATTGGTATTGAAAGTGGTCCCAAGTTTGCATGAAAAACTCTGTGATTCCGAACAATGATTTGTAAAATGCATTATTGACAGATGGTCCAAGAATTTTAATGAGCACTGTTGCAGTTTGACATAAAAAAAATCTCTGAAATGTTTCATCCGCTCCATCAAAAGAGGTTGAATACCCCTGAAGAAAACTTTCAGAAATTGCAATGCCCACAGGGAATGCATCATGTGAAATATAATATCACCACTGTAATTGTCATGGGACAGCTGTCCCGGATTGGCCATAATTCCCTTCCAATGAAAAGTAGAATAGGTATGTATTCTAAAATATAAGATTTTTTTTGTGCTCACAATTTTTGCCATTTGACTAATCTCAATATAAAGCACGATTGTGATAGAGATGTCAGGGGTTCGCTCCTTTTGGGAAACGCTGCCTATTTATTCGTTATCTCATCTGACCTATTTCTACTTTTCTAGCGACCACCTTGTATATCATCTCTCCATAAAATCATTTATTGCTTTCGAATCAGTCAACCAGGTTCAATCGAATGTGTGAAAATTAGCAGCTGAGTGTTGGTGAGAGATAGATGAGCGATCAAGTATTCTAATCAGCTACGTCTCACCCCCAACGGGGTTTGAATCGAAGTAACCTTATGATGACCCAAAGATAATAATAAGCAGAACCCTGAAAAAAAAAAAAAACTACCCAGAAAATCCACTACTTTCCTTTATAAAATATGATGATTCAAAATTGTATCACCTATCTTAGAGTCAGAATTATAGAATACAAAAAACGGACGCTACAGAAGTATGTGCACCAAGATGGCGGTCACCGTGACTCCCGTAGTATTTGCACCTGAAATTATGGACTAACCCTAACCTGGTACCCATACTAGATTCCGGTGTCCGCCATCTTGGTTCACATACTTCTGGAGTACCAAAAGGTGTTATGAGTGTTGGGCCATGATCGTGAAAGTTTGAGGGCCGTTTCACTTGGATCGTAAAAAAATTAACTCACCGTGGGCAGTAAGTCCAGGACTTCCAGTGAACTTTGCCACGTCAACGATTTTAACAGCGTACTGGAGTTTTGATCTTCGATGAGTGCAACGTCTGACAAAACTGAATGGACCTCTGTAACAGGGAAATGTATTTTGTTGAAAATGTTTTTATTGTCAATCTGGAAACTGGTATTTTCCTAGAATGCTCAGCATGATGTCATTGGTTTTCTGGAGACTGAGGCTCGTGTATGAATCCCAAATTCAAAAATATTTCGGGGGATAAACGAATTATAAATGTTATTATAAATGAGAACAAATGAATTGAAAGTTAAGTAAAAATGAAATGTCTGTATTGATATTAGTTAAATCACCAAACTCACCCCTATAACATGCTTCCCAGGGTGGCTGCCCTCATGACCCCCCCCCCCCCCCCCCCTCTAAACACACCCCATAGTTACACTGATTTATATTTGAACAATTTATAACTGTAACAAAATAATTATATGGTCACTGATCAGCATCCGAAGCCACTGAAATTTTGGGTAGATCATGCTTAATATATATTATAATGTTGCTCCACTCCAACAAGATTCAGGCATTTTCAAATACAATAAAAGCTTCTCACATAACATCAGATTTCAGTGGCTGTTTGTAGAAGGCCATGTTCGAAGCTAAAAGCACCGCTATGAGTCAAGTGCAATTTCAAGTATTTTGTGGCGTCTGAAGCTGAGGTGAGATTTCCGGACCATGGACACTATGGCCAAACCCATGGCGACTGTTTTTTTGGCTGCCACGAACCAATGGTTAGCTGCCGATACAACAGCAGCAAATTGAAAACTAAAGGCGGGTGAAATTTTGCTGCCATAACCACAGCATGTCAGCTGTAATGGCAGGGCTGCCCCGGATGGTGATAAATATTGGGTAAGCTGGAACAGTTTCTTATAGATACAGTTTTAATGGATTTGGGGTTAGGTTTTAGGTTAAGTAGATATAATTCTGCATGATAAAATAAAATCTGGCTTTGTGAATATACCGGTAATAGCGCCATCAACAGGGCAGGAGCTGCCATCGGTTCATTCGGTTGCCATGAAGTGGTAAGAACTGCGCCTCCTACGAGTCATAAAAATAAAAAATTACTCACTTTCCGATGGTCTCGTGCTGTTCATAGTTGGTCTCGAATCTCTCCTCTACCATATTGTTCATTGTGAAAGATCACTCAGCAATTGATTTATTACTTGTTATTCATAGTCAGATCTAAGTACTTAAAATGTGATAAATATATTTCTGTTGCGGAATATATGAACGCAATAAAGTTAACTTGTGAGGAAAGATATTGCCAGATTTCACAAACCCATGTTTACATGTTACAATAGAACAGTCAGACAGTGGTGAGCAAATACTCTTCTGAGTGATCCTTTTACATCCGACCCACGACTCGATATGAAAAACTATGGATATAAACAGTATGGTTACACACAACTAGTTTGTCACAGCTAGATAAGTTTTAAAGTAATCTTTCACTACCTCAACCCACTGGAATTAGGCTTGCACGTAATTGACAAAAATGAATTCCGTAATTACGGCAAAATCAATTACGTAATGACCCCGTAATTGCGATATTTTTCCACGCATTTAAACCTATCGTAACAACCCATTGAATCCACTTTTTTTCCGAATGGGACATTGAAGTTGGGTTTTCATATTCTTGGCAGTACTACACGCCGGCGGCAGATGTTAAAGACAACTATCAAGGAGTGAATTCAAATTAATTTTATTCTGATTTTTATTTTTTGTGTCAGCTTTGGTTTTTCTTTATCACCTTCGCAATTAACCGTCCCATTTTTATGCGATCAATTTTATTTTATCATTACCGACACTGGTATACGGATATTTATGGAAACGATAGTTTTTTTAAAACCACCTTAGTACTGAATAAAAATTACGGGTTTTCTAATTTATTAACCAACGACGAGCGTATTCTCTCATTTGATTATTACTTGCGATTTCCTCGCGACGAAGACTTGTTTTTGCAGCGTTTTCTGCATTATCCGACATTAATGCCTTGTTAGCATTTTTATAATAATAATTATTGATGTCGACTTATTGACGATATTCCGATTACCATGCTTCATTTTACATTCAATCATTTCGCGGACTGAATGTTTATAACATTATTTGCGATAAATTTAGATCAAATATTATTTATTTGCGTATAATTTAAATACCGAACTTATATGACATGCCTTCTCCGAAAATACAAAGTTATATCGCAAAACAATGCATTTTGTGACATTTATTTTACACTCACAACATTTATTTGCTAACTCAAGTCGGCGATCCTATCGGCCAAGATTGACAAAAGTTTGGTCGAGTGCCGGTGGTATTCAAGTCGACGATAAATCAAAATAAGTTGCCGCATTTGGTAAGACAGTTAATCATATATGGCCGAAATATTGAGAGGAATTGTGAAAAACATCATGAGCAAGGCCAAGTCCGGACTGATATATAAGATAAAACCGTTAACAGAACATCAAGATTTTGTAATAGAAAATGGATCTCGCACAGAATAAACACACAGGCTCATATTTGATTATATATGATAGCAGTTAAATTTTCAACGGTCCGCGAGGAATCCGTCGTTTTGGTTCATTACGCAATCTCTCTTTTGTCGTCAAATTGCTATTTGATAAGCGCGACATTAATTATCACGGCGAGGTATTGGCGCGAGTGATCAATCGCTCTTTTCGCTTATTTGGTTCCAATTCGTCGCGAAAGCTCTTCGTTAAATTTCACAAGATCGTCGTGTTGAAAGGTTATGGATATTTTCCTGTTTATACCCCAAGTCTGAAATGAAACAGCCAAAAACAATATGATATTCCATGTTCATATATCAAGTGTTGATATTAACAATAAAGAATGGTTAAGCATTGCTAATCCACACTTGGCGGGGAATTCCCACTATTCAAACGCGTGAATATAAAATAGAAACGGAACATATATACCATAAGTAACGGAAAACTGGAACAAGTAAATAATAAATAAAAGTAAAATGGATACAAATGTTTGATAGGCCATGTTTGATAGATTGATCTCCTGCGTTCATTAGTCATTTCACCCGAAGAAGTTGAAACCGGGCGTGTTAGCGTCCATCGGTCTTAACACAATTCTATCCCTTATCTATGGTTAAGTTGCGGGAGAAGTTAAAACCAGGTGTGTTGACGTCAAACGACCCTACTCAGTTCTTCCCCCATTAACTAACTAATAATTTACATTGGCCACGCCAGATAAGTTGATAATAGGTTAGTAAATGGCAACGCGGCATGCCTTCCTTCACCTACGTAACAAGAGAGAGAAAAACGGCTGCGAATACCGGAACTCTAACTTCTTCTACTTGTGGAGCTTTCATTTTTCGCAATCGACGAAATTGACTGCTTTGAAGAAAGCTCGTTTCAATGCAATAATTACGACTTTACGTAATTCGTAACTTCCCTTCCGTAACTCCAAATAATTACGTAATTCCGTAAATCCGTAAATTACGTGCAAGCCTAATCTGGAATATAGCAAATATTTTTTTTAAAATAAATTACATTTATTCATTTCTTTTTTTTTTCCATTTTACATTCATAATCCAGTTGAGTGAGTTTCATATTTCAGTATTTTTCAAGCTTGGTCCAGAAGTAATAATTATCTACAACAATTAGGTTATTTCAATAATTACATCGACATAAAACAATGAACAAACAAATTAGCAAATGCAATAACACTTAGATCTATCACGAACACCTGACTTCCTATTTAAAATAAGGTTTCGCATGAATTTTGTGATTTTAGGCTATCACGAACTGTTTGTTCACTCTGGAATTTTCTATATTTTATCCACTTCTTGACCTATTACAGTATTGGAATCATTTATATCTGCTTTAAATGTAGAGCAAATATATAGATATAAGTCTGTAAGGTGTTTTATTTTCAAATACTGAAATATGATCTAACGATAGAATTTTTGGGTCTGGTATAGTTTAGTACCACATGCACTTCTAGTTGGCCTGGCTAAACAATTTTTGCATATTTCAATCCCAACCCCCACCTGACTACGTTACCGAAAAATTACGTCATTTCGACATCACAGTGGCGTAAAAAGCCCCCCCCCCCCCCCCCAAAGTATGCTGAGGTCGTCCAAAACGCACAGGCGATCACTCGAAATCGAGCAAGCTATTTCTCTCATTTTTTTGTCGCAATGATCACGATATGAAAGAGATTCCCAACGTTAGCGAGTTCCTTATCCATTCATCACTGTATCAGTGATGGGCGATCGTGAACTGGGCGATCGTAATTATATTTTGACAGGCTCTATGACATGGTGATGTTGTAGCGAAGTACTTTTTAAATGGCATAGTCAGGTAGTCAGGGGTTAGGAATAACATATGCAAAATTCTTTATGCCTGCTCCACTAGAAGTACTTGTGGTAGTCTACTAAACTATACTATAAGTATAAGTCTATTTTGAATCCATAATCCAGTAATCAGCATAACACTTAAATGATTGGTAAAAAAATAAATCAATCAATCATTCATTTTGGTTCTCTGACACAAACAATACAAAAAGTAAACGGACAAAACAAAATGCAGTGATACCTGGGAGACGGGCATAACTTAAAATAAAGTTAAAAAGATAAATAAAACGAGCACAGATTTAAAAACGCAATTTAAAATCGAGCATCACTTTGGAAGTAATTCAATAAAAACAACCAATTGCAGAATTGAAGTAGAAACTTTTAACAACTGAAATAAAAACTGATTATGAAATCAGGAGAGCAAACAAAACCTTGGACAAGGTTTAAAACGTACAGAATACAAGATGGAAGGTTTTGCCAAGAAGAAGTGGTACGCGTTCACTCACCCAAAATAATGGAAATATTTCACACACTCTCACACAACCCACACAACCATACAGAAGTTACAAAGTAAGAAGAACCCGAATTTTTCATGATCCAAATTTTATAGGCCTACTGTATCTCACAATTTATATGACGAAAAAAATAAATACTACTAGTCTACTTTATTAGTGCTACTAAACCTATTCCGGTACATCGGGTTTTCTAAAACAAGAAAACCATTCCCATGTTCGACAAACTGACAATAACGTCAGAACGTACCGGTACCGGTACGGTAATATCCCAACAATTTTACTGTATGGCCCCGTTATTATTTTGTCCGCGTGACACGCAAAAGAATCATTACTTTGCAAATATGAAAATCTGTTAATTCAGCAACAACTAGCCTACAAGCAAATAAACTAAAACCACAATCAGCAAAATTTCTCATTCATTTCGCAAGAGAACCGACCTGACGGTCATCGTGAAGCAATAAAATCTATGGACAATTCGTCTGTCTTTGAGAGGTACGAATCATCCAACTTGAAAGGTATTTGGAACGAGCTGTCTGTGATTTTAAAATGTGACTCTTGGGTGACATCTCCCGGGTTCAATGACTTCATCAATGATCTTGGCACATAGAGAGAATATTGATTGCCAGGTCTTCCAAATGAGACGATCTTTTCGCATGAACACTTTTTAATTTCACACATTTAGCTCAGTGGAAGCACTTTGTTTTATTTTTTAATATTTTCTAATCTACAACTTCTGATTGTTTCATATATTGATACAAAACAAACAAAAAAATGAATCAAACAATTTATAATGATCGAAGAAAATAGAAATACAGTAATCCGAATCACTATCCACACTTTTAAAATCAAATACCTGACTGAATATTCCTTTACCCGGCATGGACTGGAGGACCCATCGTGTTTGCCATTTGATCCCCCTCTTTTGAATTTTCTGAAAAGTGAAAAAGTTGCCGATAACACGTGCAATTGCCTTCTGCTAAAATCGACGTTCGTTTTCAACAACGCGGCATGTTACTTATGCCGTGAACGCCCTTTACATTGGTGTTTATTCTCTTTAAATCACAAATTTGTGCCGCGGGAACAATGATAATTATTGGACACGTAGTGGACATAACGATAGTTTCAATATTATGTTGTTCTTGTTCTTGTTTTATAAGATTCAGATTCAGATTCAGATTTTTATTTTCGTCGTGCATGAAATATTGTACAAACAAAATTGATCAAAATATATAACAAAACATCAATTAAAATATACTGGAATACAATATTTGCGCAATTGACGAGGAACCGCGAGAGACCACTAAAGTCATCGTGTCAGCGACACCGTGTTTGCTAAGATAAGCAGAAGACGTCAATAACATGAAATAATTAATTTTTGAAAATAGAGTGAATACAATTTGGGAAATACAAATCAAAACGAGAGAATCAGTGATTGACACAGAATAACACACCTAGTGGAAATATTGAAAAACCGCTTTTCTTTTCGAATACTGGACCAATTGCTTTGAAATGTTCAGTGGTTGAAGATAAAATTTTTCCCCAGAAAGCTATTACTTTTAATCATTTTAAATATTTCTGTTATCTCAGTGAGATTTGTTGTTGTTTGCTATCACGTCATTAAACGTTCTGCGGACACCGGACGCCATTTTGTGTCCTACTGTACTGCTTCGCTTGGTGTGAATATATTTGTACACTGTGATCTGACGGTACGGTAAACCGTACTGTACTGTGAACAGACGTGTCCATATATTTGGGCGTAGCTCTCTTGTTTTATTTTTGTACCCGCACGGAAATGTGAAAACTGAAAAAGCGTGCAATTGCCTTCTGCTAAAATCGCCCATGTTTTCATCAGCGTGTTATTTAGGCCGTAAACGCCCTTACGTCGGTTTTTATTCTTTCTAAATCATAAATTTGTGCCACGATAAACATGATAATTATTTTATTTTTGTACTTTGCACGGAATTGTGAATTCGTGAGTGATTATACGTTCATCGGTGGCGAGGTTCTAAATACAAAAGAAGGAGTAAAACCGCGATCTAAATTTGATTGAAAAGCGGCATTATAAAATACTGAAAATAAAACCGTAAACAATATAAGTTTTGTTGAGTCCCGCGACAGTCTAAAAACGCTTTTCTAGTCGCAAAATCGCAAAATTTCGTGTGCCTACGGCGCACATTATGTTTGGTAGCCGTTTAGGAACATACCGTCACTAAAATCGAAACACGGTTAATTGTGGGTGGGATTGGCCTTTTATCCATTACTTCAAAATTGTCGTAGAAAATTTTCGTGTTATCATTAAACAAGGTTGAAAACGCCATTTTTTCCCGGTTTGTGATGATATATAAGAGAATTAATCCGAAGTATATCCATCACTTTTTATTGTACTGAAATAAATTTTACTCCATGAGAATTTACAGCAGATTTACGGATTTTTCAGGAGGTTTTATCTTTAAAAATAATCGGAGTGTCAGCATTGCGATTGAACGGAGTCAATGTTACAATCACATCTCAAATTTGTCGAATTTGCAAAATAGAAAAAATACGGATCAAAACAATATATGATACGGGCAGTTACCACAAATTTTTATTTTTATGTCGGCAAATGGCCGAGGTTTTTTTAAAATTGTGAATTGTAAAAAATTGTTTTGTTTTGTCGACGCAAACGCTGGTTAAATTGAAGACAATTAAATTAATAAAGCAAGACCTTTTAAATATGCCCTTATCGGTCACGTATTGTTACTTTGCACAACAGAAAAATCATTTTTCTGACTTGGATGACCGTATGGTCGTATCGCTCCCTCCAGTCTTTACCATAAACAGTGTTTATTTATTTGTATTTATGTTTTCATATTTATATTTGTTTTGGTTGACGAATCAATAAATCTCTCTTTCTCTCCGATCGAGCAGTCTCGTCCCCTTATTTTTTCCCGGAATAAATATAATAAATTTCTCTCTCTCTCTCTAATCCTATCCTGACCTTTGGTCGTATCACCATCTCCCAGTCTATACCGGAAGAAATGCTGTGTAGTTTATTATTTTGAAATTTATTTGTATTTTGGTTGACAAAAATAACAAGGGCTCAAATAACAAAATGCTCAAATATATAGACACGTCACAAGGTGCCGCTATTTTTTATTCCGACACATAAAAAACGAATCTCTTAAAGTTCACAGAAATTTTTGAAAGAAGTAAAAGTAATGGCCTTCTGGCGAAAAAATCAATCTTCAACCACTGGAAATCTTGAAGCAATTGGGTCAGTATTGGAAGAGAAAAGCGATTTTTTAATGATGAAAAAATGAAAAAAAGGAACAAGAACAACACCAAAACAGTCGTTAGGTCCATTGACGTGTCCAATAAACTCTTTCTCTTGCTATCTATTTAGTGTCGAATTATGAAGTAATAAGTTGAACGAATCTGGCAACTAAAATTTGTTTACTTTCTGCAATAGTAATTGCGCAACACCGCAAGAGTCATTGATCAAATTTGCATCAACTGCTCTACGCGTCACCCCTTCCGTTTATGCTTATAGTTCAGATACAGACTTGTCGTCGTTCATCAAATATCTTACCGATACAACGGATTGGTAGAATAAATATTCCTGTATTTAAGTATAAGTATAAGTTCGTATTTTCAGCTGCTGAAATATGGCGGAGGCGACTCAAAAACCAGGTGAGTTTGCATATTTTTCCAGAATTCCTCACATCTGTTAATGTAAGCGTGAAGCTTTATTAGCAAATGCAGAAATATTCTTTGTGTCAAGAAAGATTTCCTATTTAGTAAGATTCAACATAACAATCCTAACCCCCACTGGACTACGTCATCCAAAAATTATGGGGTCTAGTATACTGAGTACCGGTATAGTTTAGTACCACAAGTACTTTCAGTGGGCGTAGCATAACGAATTTTACATATGTTATTCCTAACCCCCACCTGACTATGTCATCCAAAATTTACGTCACCATCACATCATATGGATTGCCAAAGTATAATTACGATCGCCCGAAATGGCATCTGCGCCGCCGATAATGAACTCGATAATGCCGGCGATCTCTCTCATAGAGGTCGTTGTGACGAGAAAACTATAGAAATACATTTTGGGTGATCGCCCGCGCGTTTTGGACGACCACCCGTATACTTTGGTGGGCCTTATTACGCTACTGTGACGTCGGAATGACGCAATATTTTGGTGACGTAGTCAGGTGGGGGTTAGGATTGACATATGCAAAAATTGTTTAGCCAGGCCAACTAGAAGTGCATGTGGTACTAAACTATACCAGACCCAAATTATGTGGCTGACGGCTAACTCGCCATGAGGGCTAACTCGCCATGGACCACTCGCCATGCGACGGCGGTTAACGGGTTAGCCTGCAACTGTGCGGAGGCTCTTCTTGTAATGGGAGATGGAAAGGTGGCTGTTTATACTAACAACTTCAATAGTAAGGATAAATATATTAAATTAAATGTGTTTGGTTACAATACCTACTGTGCAAATGGTAACAAAGTGACAAGAAAACGGGCTTATATGTCGGAAGGCATACCGGTACCGTACGGTACTCGACGCGCAAAAGATGTCTCAACTTATCATTTTCATCTAAGCATGCTAAATATATCATCATATTAATTGATTGTATGAGCTCTGAATCAACAACAACGCTAAATATATCAAAAGTTCTATTTTGCTACCGGCAGTCTCATTTTATTCTAACAGCCGTTGATTGCAAGCAGAGAGGGAGAGAGAGAGCTAACTCGCCATGTCTTTATTCTTTATAATTGACGATCGACATCGCGAGTTCGAGAGAGAGAGAGGGCTAACTCGCCATGTCTTTATTCTTTATAATTGACGATCGACATCGCGAGTTCGAGAGAGAGAGAGGGCTAACTCGCCATGTCTTTATTCTTTATAATTGACGATCGACATCGCGAGTTCGAGAGAGAGAGAGGGCTAACCCGCCATGTCTTTATTCTTTATAATTGATGATCGACATCGCGAGTTCGAGAGAGAGAGAGGGCTAACCCGCCATGTCTTTATTCTTTATAATTGACGATCGACATTGCGAGTTCGAGAGAGAGAGAGGGCTAACTCGCCATGTCTTTATTCTTTATAATTGACGATCGACATCGCGAGTTCGAGAGAGAGAGGGCTAACTCGCCATGTCTATTTTCTAGACATGCATTCGTTGCAGACATTAGTTGCATTCATCGTTGCTTTGAGTTTGAAAATCGTAGACAATCGAAGTCGTAATAGAAATTCGTAGAATCAGTTCAAGAACTGTGGTATTGTATCCGTTGATATTGCCACATTTATAGTGCTTGGCTATGGTAAGGCGAAAGACCGGAGATAAATTACGCTTAAGCTCAGTGATAATACTATCTGGGTCTACTATACGATCGTCAATTATAAAGAATAAAGACATGGCGAGTTAGCCCTCTCTCTCTCTCGAACTCGCGATGTCGATGGTCAATTATAAAGAATAAAGACATGGCGAGTTAGCCCTCTCTCTCTCTCGAACTCGCGATGTCGATCGTCAATTATAAAGAATAAAGACATGGCGAGTTAGCCCTCTCTCTCTCTCTCGAAATGGCGATGTCGATGGTCAATTATAAAGAATAAAGACATGGCGAGTTAGCCCTCTCTCTCTCTCTCGAAATGGCGATGTCGATGGTCCATTCCATCTCCCATTACAAGAAGAGCCTCCACACAGTTGCAGGCTAACCCGTTAACCGCCGTCGCATGGCGAGTGGTCCATGGCGAGTTAGCCCTCATGGCGAGTTAGCCTCCACCCAAATTATGTCACTACGACATCACAATCACGCCATATAGAGCTTTCAAAGACACGTACGATTGCCTGGAATGGCATCTGCGCCAACGATGAAGGACTGACTCACGTCAGTGATGTCTCTCATACTGGGATCGTCGGGACGAGAAAACGAGAGAAATAGCTGTTCGATTTCGGATACGCAGACAAGCGCGTCACTGCTACTCTGTTATGCTACTCTCACTAGAGATATGTGTGGTACTTAACTATACTGAACCGCTGCCTCTCAACCGGTTACCAGTCCATGTCAGGTATGGGATTAATTTGCAAGTTATTCGTTTCATGGATGCATGAACTTGATGGCGAAGGAATTCGTAACTGTCCGGCAGTTACGTGAACCACCATATGGTGACGAGGAGTCCAGCAATCCTCTCGCACATAATTAACCCCACATGAGATGTGAACATGCAAGGTAATCTAAGGTGCAGTGGCGAGTGTATTCCTAACACTCAGAATGATGCGCCATACCAGCGAGTGCCCAAGCCAATATCTTATTTGAAGTTTTGGCGAGTTTTCTGCCTGTCTGTTTTGTGTATTATCTTTAATTAAAGTTGTGTATTATTATGAAGCCATATATTGAAGTTTTCCATCCCAATCCTTCATGTGTTTGAATACCACTGGGAATAATTGTTTCGGAACGGATTCTTGTTCTCCGTATGGTGGCTCAAGTAACTGTTGGTTAATTATGGCTATCAATATCTGGCTGACCATATATCCATACCCATTTGCTATGGTTCAACAACTTTCCCCTTCCTGATATAATTATCGTAATAATTCACTTGTTTTCAGGGCAATCAGCAATTGTTCCAGTAAATTCTGCGAACTTCTCAGGTCAAGCGTATCTCGTTGAAGGAAGTAAACCTAGGAACCCAGAAGATTTGGTGAATTTAGCTCGACAGATACAACAGGTCAGATATAACTGTTTTGTCAAATAAATTTTCGGATTGTATTTTAAAAAAGCAACAGCGTCGACTGAAATGTCAAAAGTTACTGAAACTATATAAAAGTATTGTGTTGCATTGCGTGTCCTGCTGGGTGATGCAAAACTTGCGGCAGTTCTGAACCCAAACAATAGAAAAAAACAAATATGAAGTGAGCATGTAATTGAAATTTTTGGAAAAATTCATCAAGATTGGAAAAACAGATGCAAATTTAACCTTTGGTGAGAATCGGAGTCTTTAATAAAATTGCTTTAGTTATTCGGAGCTGTGTCTGGAAAATTCGCCTCAAGGAATTTCGCCGTAGGAAATCTCGCTGCAGAAAGTTTTTGTCGCATAGAAAAATGAAGCAATTGTATTTTACTGATAACTTTAATACTTATCTAGCTATACTCCACAAAGCAAAATTTTCAGTCCTAAAAATCTGGGAAATCAGGTTCATAGCTCCTCATTTAAGTTTCATCTGAGAGCATTAGGGAATGTCAATAAATTACCATGAAAACTTCAAATACAGAGCAACACAATACAAATAAAAATTAAAAAATTTTTTTCTCAAATCATAAAACTTTGCACACTCGTTAGTGTTTAAGATCCTGTGGTTCAACCCTAAAATAAATCGACTCATTTACTATTCAGGCTGATTCCTCAGTAAAAGCAGCTGCAGGTTCAAAACTCAGAGCAATTCTTGATCAAATGAAAATGCTACAAGAACAGGTGAGAGTTTTGTAATACTTGATGATTCAAAAAAAGAAAATAGAAGTTATAAATTTCTTAGTTGAATCAATCAGCTCGAGTAGTAGACGCCTAGACGGTACTCCCATAGTGTGTGTACCAGGTTAGGATTTGGCTCATAATTTTATTCGGATTTTCCTTATTTTATTCCTATTACGAGTTCGGTGACTATCTGTGTTAGCCAAGTGAATATACTCCATGCATACTTGATGGACCAAAACAGGAGCTATAAATTTCCTAGTTGAATTACTTTAATGAAAATGTAAACTATACTCTCATGTTGTGTGTACCAGTTTAGGGTTAGGCCATAATTTTATTACGATTTTCCTCATTTTATTCTATTACGAGTTCGGGAAATGTCTGTGTTAGCCAAGTGAATATACCCCTGCCATAGGTTTTAGTCTTTTCACATGACTTGATGTAAAGTAGGCGAACAAAATAGTTACCTCTATATTGGCACACATACTTCTGGAACGCCATGTAGACAGTGCATTAACACTTGAACTTTTGGTGTGTATGATATCCCCAAAAGTTTCAGTAATCTGAAACATTCTGCACAAAAATTACTGTAAGTTAGGGATCGGCAACCTTTTGTCGCATGCGGGCCAAAATTAAAGGTTGCAAGTCATTGGTGGGCCGCACATATTTTTAGAAAGTTAAAAATCGAATGGATGACCGATGAATCACATTTTATCACACAGATCAGAAGATAAATTTGAAGCAGCGCGCGAAGACTGACCATTTGAATATTTTTTTGCGCCATTAAACCATTTGCACTTAGCATCATCTTTCTGCGTTTTGTTGCCATTTGTCTGAATTATAATTAAATTATAGGCTCATTAAACGAGTAATTGAGAATTATATACTTGTTACGTTTTAATATAATTTAGTCTACACGTAAATACTTTTGCCTAAACAATATAATCGACAAAACAGCTATACTTTGTTACTATAAATCAGTGAAGCGTCGCGGGCGGGATTATATTGCTCCGCGGGCCGCAGGTTGCCGATCCTGCCGTAAGTTCTCTTTAGAATATGTCGCATATGACATGGGTTTTACTTTTGGGTCGTCTTAGATGTTTCAATTTGTCACTTTGAACAAGATTCCCAGGAACGAGCAACAGTTTATCGTGATGGGCCAAAACGTAAAATTATAGTGACACTGAGGGCCGGACCATCAACAAACTTATTAGATTTGGAAGATGAGCTTATAGGAGCTTTGTGCATGGGAATAAATGAACTGTGGATGCAATAAAATCATTAAATAAAATAATCCTTTTGGCATCGTGCTCTGCTGTAAGCATTTCATTGATAAGTGACTATGCGTTACAGAAGCAAAAAATTTTCCAAATAATTGGTATCCTATTTCTATATCCCGCATGGTTTTATGCAGTAGATATGCAATACCTGTCAAAATATCAGCTGAATATATGATGATCTCACGACAAAACATGATTATTTAATACTTACAAATTAAAAATTCTTGTACATAGTGCATACAGTAAATAAACGAGAGGTATTGAAGATTTTAACACAAAACTTGTTGAATTTATTATATTTATTTTATTATTAAGAATTGTATGGAGGTCGACAGACGCTGATGACCCCAAAAGGTTGTATCGCCCAGTCATACACCTAAGCATCTGTTTTATTATTATTATTATATATATGTTTGCATAATATGTTGCATGTTTAGGGTTTGACGAATGAAATAAACTCTCTCTCTTACTGCTTACTGCTGAGTACTTTTAAGCTCATCTTCGGTTTAGTAACGAAAATCCTATCCCTCATGAATTATTTTCAGGCAGCAAGAGTATTAGAAGAAGCGAAACGAGATGCCGAGCTTCACCATGCCGCATGCAATTTCAGGAAAATTCCAGGAAAACTTTACTATCTTTATAAAAGGGAATCGGGACAGACATATTTCTCCATGTTATCACCAGAGGTGAGTAAGCTGTCTTGTCATATTCAGTAGAAACTCTACTCTACGAAAGGCTCTGGATATGGAAAATCCAACTTAAAAAAACTCTTTGCTTAGCCTAACCTAGTTGCCCAACGCCAAAGGTAAACAAACATACCGTTCATAGTTTTTATTTGTTATTTCTCTAATCTTTCTTCTTTCCATTTATGCCTTTTCTTTTGATGATGCAGTAATCTAATTCTAAGATGTATTTGTTACGGGTTTTCACCATTATTATACTTATGCAAATATTATGTCAGATTTTTATGGGGACTCAGAACGGATTAGGTTATTCACAGGTAGTGTGCGTCCCTGCGGAATTTTCTACCTGCGAAGGGGCTTCCGAAACGAAATTAATTTCGTAGGTAGAGATTCTACTGTATATCAGTGGTTTATGTGGCCTTGTCGGGTTCTGCCAGTCCAGTTGTTTTGCAAGTTTTCATTCAATTTATGACGCATTGCACTTTCTATTGCTCCGTTAAAAATCCTGCCACAATGAGACGTATATGTGGTCTTTATAGGATATATATGTATATATTATCTAGCAATGCATAGTTGTTATTTACTTATTATCAATGTGAAGGATGATTTTGTTTCTGTGCCATTGGAATCAAATGGCCATGTAGTACGTTGTGCAAATGACGTTCTGATGACAAGCGAGTAAGAAATTATTCCCAGTGTAATACATTTGAGATGAAGCTGCCTACAGTATTAGAGGCTGATTTTGGCTCAAGGGCCGCAGTTTACCGACCACTGCCGTAGAATTGTTGTGGCACATTTACTCTGGGAAGAAGACTTGCCACAGAGCAAAATTACGAGCAATCACTGAGACGGCGAGCGCTTGACCACGTGCGTTTACTTTCGAATTATTTTTTACTAGGAATGGGGAAACTCTTGCCCACACTCATTTCTTGGCTGCTACAAATTGGAATTCGACATGACATGGACAGCTTACGAAGATTTAGCGAAAAGAGAGTCCGACAACGCAATGATAGAGAAACTAATCAACCATAAACTCCAACCTTCTCTCACATTTGGGGAGTAAATTTATTGAACTATTGGAAAAAAATGTACTAAAATCAATGTTTTATTATTAATATTATATTTTAATTTTAAATAATTTAAAATGAAATTTATTAGACCTGAAGTGGACTTATGGATCGTTTTGTTCATATGTTGTTTTTGGTGTTCTTCTTGTTGTTTTTATGTGAAAATCACTCTTTTCATTAACTACTTGGTACTCCTGTCAAGTATGTCAACCAAGATGAAGGACACTGGAACGAAGTATGTGTACCAGGTTAGGGTTGGGCCATAATTTCAGGTACAAATACTACGGGGATCACTTGGCTAGTCCCCGAACTCGTAATAGAACTAAAATAAGGAAAATTGGAATAAAATTATGGCCCAACCCGAACTTGGTACACATACTACGTTCCGGTATCCGCCATCTTGGTTCACATACCTCGGGAGTACCAACTGCAGACCCAATTGCTTTGAAATATTTAGCAGTTTGAAATTTTTTTTCCATGGCGGGGTATCACTTTTATTTATTTCAAAAATCGCTGTCGGTTTTACAGGATTCTTTTGTGTGCAATGATGTCAAAGTTCAATACTAATTAAACTACAATGGAAGAGTTTTTATTCAACTTGTTTTCTTGACCCCTTTCAATCAATCTAGATGTGGCAAATATTATTATTTATTTTAAGCTGGTTTTGGTGTATCATGAAACTGATATTTCAAATTTTCATCGACTCTTTCCTCGTTTTTTGTGATTATTTTTTATAAACCTGGGCATATCCGGGGGTCCTGGAAATTCATGACATCCCTCGTACTCCTTAAGTAAAATCTGAAAAGAAATTCGCGCTATCCACAGTGGGTCCTAAAACTTTTACATCTTTTTCAACACAATTTTTCTTTAAGATTTAGCTTGGATAACATTGACATCGAAATGAGTATGTATAGGGCTGGTTTAGGCTTGCAAATATACCGCGAATGTTTGTGGAAGGTTTTATCTAGTTCTCAGAATTACCCAATTTTGGAAACGCAGTTCTTACCACTTCATGGCAGCTCCTGCCACTGACGAATCGCGGCGTCTCTTATCACGAATATGTTCCCATCGCGGGCAGTCCTGCCATAATTTTACCCACCATTGGTTTTCAATTTGCTGCCGTGGTACCCGTCTCTCTCCATGGTTTGACTATATCGGCCATGATTTGGAAATCCCGCCATGGTTTTGCGGCAGATTCAGACACCACAAAATACCCAAAACTGCACTTGTAATTTTGCGCGGCGCTATAAAAAACACGGCGTTACCATCAGCAACCGCCGGAGCTGTTCTTATTTAACCATGAAAGCGGTCGGGACATAGTTGCGCTCAATATATTCAGATAATTTATTTTCGTCGCGCATGAAACATTGCAAACACAAACAATAATGAGTCAAGGCAAAAGGAAAAACAGACACACAATGTTTCAACTGCAATTGACGAGTAGACTATAGAGTCAGCGACACCATAAATGCCCAGCAGCAGATGAAAAACGTCTAATAATTTAACTAGATTTAAATACGTTCAAACAATGACCAACATGATTCGAAGGAAAATTAGGACAGGTAAATCGAATCGAGAGAGTAAGTCTAAAGAGAAATGTTTAAACAAAAATATGAATGGACTCGAGAGAGAAATATTTAAATGGCAAAGAAATAGTAATCCTGTCGAGTAGGTCAAAATAACGCGTTGACTCAAATTGAATTGTATCCTAACTCGAGAGGTATAACTACATTTGCCACTCATAAGTTCTGCTCCGGAACAGTACGAGAGAATATTGCAACAAGCATTACAAGGACTTGATGGAGTCCAAAATATTCTCGATGATATAGTTGTTCATGAGGAAAATGAAAACGATCATGATGAAAAATTGGAAAAGCATCTAATGCGTATCCAAAATTTGGATCTCACATTGAATAACGAAAATGTCAATTCCGAATGCCCAGAATTTAATTTATGGGACATGTTGTAACAAGCTAAGGAATTTTGATAAATCGAAAGTCGAAGCTATCAAAAACGCAAAAGAACCTGAAAATGCTAGCGAAATACGAAGTTTTCTTGGTTTAGCTCAATTTTGTGCACGATATATTTCCGACCTAGCAACGTTGTCAGAACCATTGAGAAAGCTGACACGAGAAGGAGAAAAGTTCAGATGGGGTCGAGAACAAAAACTCTCGTTTGAAACATTAAAGCAAAGACTGTCAAAGGCAAGCATTTTTGGGATATTATGATTAAAATGCTAAAACACAAGTTATAACTGACGCCAGTCCAGTAAGACTTGGAAGTGCGTTGGTGCAATAGCGAAAAGGCGAAAAACGAGTCATTTGCTTTGCAAGCCGAAGTTTAACTAATGTGGAAAGAAGGTATTCCCAGACAGAGAAAGAAGCGTTGGCAATAGTTTGGACATGCGAAAGATTTCGTGTGTATCTCTATGGTATCGAGTTTGAACTGTCGACTGACCATAAACCGCTTGAATTATTCTATTCTACCAAATCAAAACCAAGTGCGAGAATCGAGAGATGTGTTCTACGGATGATGACATATATGTATAAGGTTAAGCATATACCAGGTCATAAAAATATTGTTGATACATTGTCTCAACTGGTCCAAAGTAATCGTGAACGGAACGAGAAATTGTCAGATAAAACTGAAGAATATGTTGAATTCATTGCCATTCATGCAACACCAAGAGCATTGACAACCAGAGATATTAATTAAAAGAGCACCATTCTAAGATAATGAATTTACTTCAGTAAGAGAATGTTGGCAAAACGAAAACTGACCGAAAGGAAAATTGACAAACTACTTGGGAGTACAACAAGAGTTGAGTGTTATTGGAAAATTACTCTTGAGAGGAACTAGAATTGTAATTCCTACAACACTGCGAAATAGAGTTTTAGCGATTTATCACGAATGACATCCTGGAATAGTCGCAATGAAACAAAATCTAAGAACAAATGTTTGGTGGCCAGGAATAAGCAATGATGCTGAGAAATATTGTAAATCATGTTATGGATGTCAAATGACCGGGCAATCTGAACGTCCTGAACCAATGGTGAGAACTGAATTGTCAAATGGTCCATGGGTAGATGTTGCTGCAGATTCACTAGGTCCTCTACCATCTGGAGAAAGTATATTTGTTGTTATTGTTATTATAATAGTTATTATGAAATATCAATTTTGAAATCTACAACATCTGTGAAATTAATCGAAAGTCTACAAGATATGTTTTCTAGACATGGTTATTCGTATAGCATAACTACTGATAATGCTCCTAATTTAACAAGCAATGAACTAACTGAATACCTGAATGAAAATGGAATCCAGCACAAGAAGACAACACCATATTATCTTGCTGCAAATGGGGAAATAGAAAAACAAAACAGCTCACTGTGGAAGATATTGAAAATTGTGAAAGCTGAAGGCAAGAACTGGAAGAAAAGTTTAAATACCTATCTATTGATGTATAGAAGCTCAGTACATGCAACAACTGGTGCATCTTCAGCAGAGTTGATGTTCAAACGCAAACTTCGAACAAAACTTCCTGCAATTCAACAATATTCATTAGATGATCACGGCATCAGAGATCATAACTCTGAGATAAAGGAACGTGGGAGGATATATGCTGATCAAAAGCAAAGAGCTCGTGAAAACGATATTGAAGAAGGAGATCAAGTGTTAGTAAAGCAAGAGACTAACAACAAATTGTCTCCAAATTTTAAACCTGAACCTTTTACTGTTAAAAATAAAAAGGCAATAGTTTAATTGTAGAATCACCTGAAGGGGTGAAATACAAGAAAAACGTAACTCATGTTAAAAAGTTTCATGAACGTGCACCTACATGACGATGATTTTGATCTGTCATGCTGCTCAGTCCGAAAATGTTCCAGATACGAAATTGCAAAATGACTGTGATAATGGTTCGACAGAACAACTTCCTAGCAGACCAAAAGAACTTCTAAATTATCTTCTAGATATGATGGTTATGAAATGAACTGATTTAGTCGGTAAACTGTTTCAATGATTTGAAATTTGTGAAGGTGTCTGACAGTTGACGCGCTGAGAGACGGACGTATTTTCTCTTCTCTCGCTTGTACAATTAATGAGTTGCTAAAGCGCCGCTAGTCTAGCTGACTTTATTATCTTAATACTGTATCAGCATATCGTCAATTTTGCCATTTAACGTTTTATAGCCAGTCAGTCTACACCCAATAAAATGGCAAAAGTACAAGGAATTAGTTCAGTTTCAATAGACACCAGCATCCTGCAAAAACTGGACATCATTCAAATGAAACAGAAATCTCTCGAAGACAGATTTCTGACGGAGGCAAGTCAATCTCCTAAATCAAAGCGAAGGAGCGGAGCATCTTCTACTCTACATCATCCCCATCCTTAATAGAAGAACTAAAATAATTGGCATCCGAAAGTAATGTAATAAAATCGTTCGTTGAGGAAATTGATAGAAGATCCAAAGAAAATGAGATAAAAATAGACAACATCAAGCAATACGGTAGACGGAACTGCCTCATTTTCCACGGATGTAAGAACATTCCGCCGTCTGAACCGTATCAGAGATTTGAGATGTTTGTGGCGAGAACCCTGAATACAAGTCTAAACTCATCATACCCTAATACCCGGTTCAATTTGGGGATATTGATACAACACATATTCTACCAAAGGACTCTAAAGGAAATGTACCGATCATTGTTAAATTTGTTCGTCGAAGCGTAAAACACCAAATTTATGCTGCTAAAAAAAGACTCCGTGGAACCGGCCTTTCCATCACCGAATCTCTAACCCATGGTTTCCCAACCCCAGTCCTCGGTCTCAAATAAGTCCGCAGAGCGTTTGGATGAGTCCGCAACGAGCCAGAAATTTACTGCAGGCCGTAAACGTTTTTGCGAAACTTAATTAACTATCAGCCAAGTTACGATTTACGTTAGGATTTACATAAAAAAGAAAAAGCCAGTTTATTCACATAACATCAATCAAGTCAATAATTAACGTTTACTGAGTAGGACTGGCATATAATCGTATATTCAACTATTAGAATAGCAATTTACTATACGAAAATTTGGTAACACGTGACGCGACAGGTCACTTGCGAGTCGCTTTATCAAAAGATTGGATTTCACAACTCTCTTGCAAATCTTCGACGAAAACAAGTCTGTAAACGCTTCGATAAATACGTAATGGGTGTTTCTCGCGAGTTCAAACAACGAAGAATAAATTTTTTTTCTGGTAGGTGTAAATGGTGGCAACGCAAATTTTCTAAATTGAAAAGCGGTCCGCGACCGATTAAAGAGACTTTTTTAGACATTGCAAATCGGGCACTTTACCACGCATTTTGGTGTCCACGGATTGTCATGGCATTTTTTGAGTAGTACTGCTCTTATTTAGTCAACACAACCGCAGGTTAAAAGGATCACACATATGGATTGAATATTTTATGCAACAGAAAATATCATTGAAAAGTCGACTCTTTTAACGAGTGACGTATACGCGACGATTGCTTCAGAAGTTGTTCGCGAGAATTTTAAGGCGATGAACATGTATTTTTGATTTACTAAAATACTTTAAATATATTTTTTATAAATACTAAATTAAGTTGTACATTCTGGAAATTTATAGCAGATAGTAGGATTTTTTCTGACGGCGATAACAAATTGGCAAGATCGCAAAAAATATGTATATATATATATATCAAAG